TTGCGCAGACTTTGCCCACCATCTGGTTTTGATCCTTTTGAATTTGTTTGCACGCCAGGTGCACAGCGGAATCAGAGAAAGCGAAATAAGAGTAGAGGCTGGCTTACTGGGAATTTCGGTCGAGTTTCGTGTGAGATAAACTAATAGCAAACCTCGAGGCTGGCTATGTTTGAGCCGAGAAATTGACGATGGACCCCAGAAACTGCCCACAGAAACTGGAGAGAATGCTTGAGTTTGTTGTCCAGATCTGAACTTCAAATGGGTCCAAAAAATATTCTCTTCTTCAATACTCCTAATGCAGGATACAGGCTGCAGCACCATAGCTATGACTGTTCTGGCATCCATTCCCCGGGTACAAGAGGAAGCAATGGGCTGTATTGTGTTTATCAATGAGCTGGATCAAGCCTACAACAAAGCTCTTAATGATACACCTGAATCTGCTCGACTTTTATATTTTGGTAGCACCAACTCCATCTTCAACTACTAAGCTGCCAACTTGGAGAATTTGAGATTACTGTATAATCCAAACTTACTCCCAACTTGAAATTGCAGTACAAAAATTTAGAGTTCATACATGTTCCGTGGGACTTCTTCTACGAATGCTTGAATGACTCATGAGGTCTCACGTTCTCTCGACATCTTCCGCTGTTTAATGACAGGATTCACTCCAGCTTTGACCAAGCATGCGTGTTGCGGAGCGCCTGGACTTGGAACCCACAACTACAAGCCACTCGTCCCTTGTGGTAATCCAGGGTCCAACAAATCTGTACACCCGGACTAGTATGTCAAATGGCACGGTGTACATTTGACCGAAGCATTTACAGGCGAATTGCCTTATGGGCCCTCTCACGGACTGCCCGGTCAGCTACACTTCTCTGTGTAAGTTAGATTTTCGGAGCTTTGCAAAGTCTTCAGATACAACTGTGTGTTTGCTCAGAGTTCCAGGGTAACATTCACGTGATTAACTCCTATCACTTTTATTTTCCTGAATTAAGGAATTTAAGATCGAAAACTAGGTTTCAGAAGAGTTTATTAGGGAATATTAGGCCCTTCCAGAACGCTTCTTGAGCTCAAGCACATTACACCGTGAACATGATACCCTTTTTTGAGTATTCCCTGACTCTTTTGAATGCCATCTTATACGGTAGCATTCTTTTAGATAATCTTGGACGGTCTTCATACCCAATGCTGTACATGGATGTCATGCGTAAGAGGATGCAATTGAATCATCAGTATGTGCACTAGATAATGTAACGTGTATTTGATATACAAAGCTCTTGATGATACAATAGCAGCTGCTCGGCTTTTATATCTTAGCAGAACCTTCTCCATCTTCAACAACTACGCTGCCAACTTGGAAACTTTGACAAATCCATCTCTTTAAGGTATATTTTGAACTGTTTCCCACCTTGAAGTTGCAGGATCACAATTCGAAGTCCATACATAGTACTTGAGACTTCTTCTTTGAATGCGTGAACAGCTGAAATCACGTTCTCTTGGCTTCTTGTGCATTCGAATGACAGGGAACTGCCAAAAGCCTTCACTGATTGAGAGCGAACTTTCAGTGCAATCACCGGTTCCACTTGGAGACTGCGACCATGCACTGCAGAACAAATGGCCTTGTCAGCATGTACAAGGAATTGTGAGTGCGTCCAAGTCTAGTTCAAACTTAGAGTCCTGCGCACACATTGGAAGGTTTTGGTTAGGTTTTGTGTCTGCTTTCTGACAAATTATAGGTATGGATTTGTAATTTTATATAACTTGAATTACCTACATGTCTATGAAACTGATGTTCTGAATTGTCTCTTTGCACAGGTTGTTTTCTTGCAGCCATCTGTACACGAGAGAGGATGCACAAGCACAAACTTCAATCTACATAAGGATCAAAGAACGTTCACACGTGAAAAATGAAGCTAGAAGGCAACGATAAGACCACAGTGATTCTGACCGATGTAATTAATCAGAATTTTCAGCTTATGATCTGGCTCGTTCTGGTATCTGCTATGAACTCAGGTTTCTTGGATAATTGCTGTACATGGTAGAGGTTTAAAGTAGCAGGTAGATACGGACTGGGATATTTAATAACCACATTTCGCTTCGTATTATGTAGAGCTCCAAGATTCTCACAATGCCTCCATTAAGGCTGTTGTTCTCCAGGTGGTTGAAAAAGAAATCAATGACATACAGAAACGAGAAAAATTTTCAGACGCGAAGTGCGGTTGTGTTTCATTTCTATCGTAACATACGTATTCAATTCCAGATTGACCATGCAAATTCGACTTTGGTGCAGCCTGATCATTTGGATTCACCGTAATGCTTAATATTAAGGCGCAGGCTCGAAAGAAAAAAGACATATGTAGTACCAGGCCTAAGATGAGTCAATGTGAAAAGGATAAAGAAATTCGAAGGCTTTTCAGAAAATAAATGTATCTCTGATCCTACCACTGGAATGCTTGCCAATCAATCTCCCGTGCAAAAGAATCCAAAACAGAACCAGGGTAAGGTACAGCAGGTGCATTCTGTTTTACACCTCAGCATGTAACGGTAGACTGCATCTATAGGACTTCAGCTACGAGTTGTAGTGAGTTAGTGATTTTCGGGATTTATATCCACATTGCTTCAAGTCTCAGAGTATATGTAAAGTAGAACCGCAGACACCTGGGATATGATTAGGTCCAGATCACGTCTTAAATCAATGATTCAAATCCGATGTCTCCAACTTGCATACGTAAGGCCTCGAAATACTTCCGAGGTGTCTAGTGTCGGCTTGTCTGGAACTGCGTATGCACTTGTCCACTGACCATGCCGCCTGCTGTTCAATTCGTATTACACGTGAACTGTATAAGGGGACAATATTGTGAAGGTGGGATGCAAAGAAATCAAAACATCCAAGATAACAACAAGAATCCGAAAGAGCCTAGTAAAAAATGAATAATATATATGTATATTTATTTATTTATTTATTAGCTAGGAAGGTAGCCCGGGCAGAGTTAGTACTCTACCCACAATAAAAGGCCTGTCTCCGATTACGATAGTGTTAGTAATCATTCAAAACGGCTGGTAACCCCAAATCATTTGAGTTTAAGATTTCTGCTTAGAAAAATCTGGAAGTACAAGACTAAGCTCGTTCTGAGCACTGTTTATGATTTTTGAAGAAACCTTATGTTCTTTTGGAAATAACCTGATTCAAACCATGTACTTATTGACGTTGAAGCTGCGTGCTTTGTCTGTTGTGCTTCTACTTTCCTCTTTTGTGTTCCTTTTTTGTGATTTTTATTGTTCATACATTGTCAAACATATCCTTAGATTCAGTTGACTATTAAGTTTTGTTTACAATTTAAGAATCATTACATGAAACGATCATCCATCTGTAGGGCTGAGTGAGGGGATCCCTCAGTTGTTGGGCCAAAAGCACCTCGCGATCTCCCATATGTGGGGCTGAGAGCACTTTGCAGCTATGTTCAAGGGTTCTTTCCACCATCTATAAAAGGTTGATGATGCTAAACAAGCGTGCCAAAATTCTCATCAAATTTTTGTTACGGTTAGTAGATCCACTACCATATCATTAGATGCATAAATATGATCTTGCAATTTTTAATTTCATCTTCAAATCATTTTGAAACGTCAAAAGTAGTGGGGCTTCACTTGCCTCGTTCGCATATCTCTCATTTATTCTACAACTCACCATTCACTCATTTCACAAAGTAGTACTAGAGTAAAGCTCAAAAGGATTTTCTTTCCCCGCTGATTTTTCGAACCTTGTTTCCAAAATAGGGACAATGGGAATTTCGTTAAGTTAATTAGACACGAGGATTTGGCTAAATTAAGACAAATCTAACATTAGCCTATCATATTTCTGTTCCGATATTGGAATTCTTTTGTCAAAAACCATTAGATGTCGAAGAAACTTGGTAAAGTAAGGTTCCAGAGAATAAAATGAGACGAATCAGAGTTCCTGGATTTTGGCTGTTCATAGCAGAAAGGTAAAAAGCTGTCTACTATAAAATATGAAGTCATTTTGATGAGAAAATAAATAGTTAAACAATTTATGAAATAATTACTCATAGTCATTGTAAAGTAATACACATAACTCATTTAAAATAAAGAAAAAATATATTTATATACTTAAAAACTATGGACAACAAGTAAGTCTTGAAAGTCATCAAGTACTTCAAACATATGTAAAGTGATGACCAAATATTCCTAATAAATCAGAGAAATCGATTGTAAGATAAAAGTAACGAATACTCAAAGATTATCAACAAATTTATGAAAAAATTAATCAAAATTTTAAGGCAAAAAATACTAATTTTAAAATGAAGTCAAGATACAAAATAGAATGGATTATTTCTGAAATTTTGATGAGAATATATTCTATTTCAAGGAAAGAGAAATAAAATAGTAAAACATGTTTTTTAGATTCAATAACTGACATCAATGACAGGTTAAACAAAAGATGTAGAATTGAGTGAAATACTTAAAGAAATAATGATTTGAGGCTTCTCATAGATTTTTATAAGAATGTCTATCATTCTATAATACGTTCTCTGATTTTGGAAAATTAACAAATTGATACATTGAAGCCCCTCGAGTCTTCCGTTCCAGGGTTTTCACGATTGATAAGAAATAAATCCTTACAATAGATCGTAACTAGGCACAAGTGTTCTCCAAACTTCAGCCACCTGGACTAACCTCCATAGTAAACATTCAAATTTGAAGCATTGTTTTAAGAAAAAATGACCCGTCGTTTCTTGTAATCTGAAAATTCTTTCAGAGATAGTTCTGCTTGTTAGAAATCCTTTTAACTAAGTGCGTGGCCATAAAAATTCGTTCCTCTGCACGATTCTGATTTTTACTGGTGGGTGTTTTACATGGTTTCTTGCTGTAAGAAATATCCTGCTGTTCCAACCGTGTACATACAACAAGCTCAAAACAGTTCATTCAACTGAATAATTTATGCTGTCGGCTGCTGCTTGCGAAAAGATTGGCTTTGCTGTCGATGAATCGCAATGTTTATTAGCAAGAAATTCCTCTTTGAAGAATTTCCTTGTCAGTATCCACATTCTAGAGCGTACAAACCAACTTGGCGCTATATTTCAAGAAATTTTACACACTGTGGCGAGCATAAGACGGAGTTGACCAAGCTAGGACACTCAATCTTCTTGCCCACAGAGTGGACTTACGACAATGTATTATTTTTACACAATGTTCTCCCTTTTCCTTAATCTGACATATGTTAGAATGGAAAATTGTTCATATCGACATCGACAGACGCGCGTGATCATGTATCAAGTCAAGGTGATACTTGTATCACCTTCACTACTGAGAGTACATCACGGTTCTGCCCGCCAGATCTTGAAGCGGCCTGTTGTTTGGTTTCTGGAAGGACAAACGAGACAGGGACTAGTCGGTGAATATTACAAAGACGGTAGACAAGTCCTAATTAACGTGTCAACAGAGGTACTGGGAACAGTCAACTAAACAAAGGATCTGGTCAGAGAAATCTCAACTCACCTTCAGAACGGCCTTGTAGGCTTGAAACTGTCTCGGTGACATCTTCAGATTCTGGACATCACAATGGAGAGCCAAATCAGCATCACAGTGACGATCGTGCAACGTGATTTTGATCAGATTCCAGTCAAGTGTGGCAGAACGTATTGGTAGGTGGAGTAAGCATCTTCCATGCCTAAGCTCTTCTAGGAATATGCTATAAAGTTTCAAGCTTTAAAAAGCTCTTCGTCGCTCATTATTCATGAAAGGAAAATCTTTAATGCCAGGCTGAATGCAGTCTTCTGTATGTTTATTCAGGTGGCTACATATAGTAGAATCAAAAGCTGACCTGGTTCAGGATGACTGTCCAAGTAACATTCTCAGTGCACGGTGGCGTCGTCAGAGATCCGGAATATCGAGCATATGGGCCATCCAATACCGGTAGTAGTGAAGAGAAGTCGACTGGTTTCAACGTGTGTACTGAAGAATCTGGCTTCTTTATATATGGTAAAGCATCAAATACCTGGATCACGAAAAAAGATTTTACAAGTGCCCCAAATTAATCATACACGTTGCTCTGAACGCAATATTATCCTGAACCGTTTGGTTGCAGGCAACTTTCTGTGATTCATCGCAACGACATCATCAAAATACTATCATAAATGGGTCTAGTGTATCTGATAACTCTGCAGATCTTTTAGATACTCCACACACAGAATTCATGAGCGCTTACCTTTAAAAATTTGATATCGGGTTGGTAAAACTTTAAGTAAAACTACAGACAACTTTAATCAATGATCACCAACGATTTTTGCAGTATAAGCATATGCGAAAAAAATATAAGAATTTCTATAAAACCCGAACATATCTCATCACATGAATGCCGGACTTCATGAAAACAACATATGTGGTAATAATTGATTTTCCTCACTGATTAGAATATCGTGTAAGTACCTGTTGAAGAAAATGATCGGTTGACGAGTCATCAGGGCCTTCATTGTACAGGAGGCCGATAACAGCGAGCTGAGGCCCATTTTGAGTGACGGTTTTATGAACTAGATGTAACTCCAAATCATAACTGCGCATGCACGTTGTCAAGTTTGTATAATTGCATCATCGAATAATCCCTGAATTCCTTCGGAATTAAATCGACACTCATCCAGCAGAGAACGAGTTCTTTGATTAACGAAGTGTACAAAGTAAAAGTCAGGATAGTACCTCATCGAATCAATCTCGTGTTCACTTGGGGAATGGAAGTGAAATCCACTCAGATTGTAAATATCACGAAGATACAGCTTTCCGAATGGTGCATCACCTTCCACCTTTTACCCAAAAAATGTAGTCAGCCTTACGTAAGTACAACCTTAAATACAACTCAACCTATGAACTTAATGAACAAACCTATCGTGTTTTAGAGTTTTTCCGTACGTGTTGTATGATACTTGCGGCAAACATGTAAGGATACGGATTGTATTAAATCGCGCATTGCAAGAAAAGAAATTGCATATCTGAGCACTGAAATGACCGTCTGCTCATGACGTGCTTACTGTCAATTGAAGATGTGAACCGGAGTGGGTGACCGTTGCCTGTGTTTCGCTGTTGTACTCGACATGCAATTTACATAGACCCGGAAACTGATGAGCAGCTGCTTCACGTCTTACAATGTCTATCGGAGATTGGATCTTGCCTGTGTTGCAAGATCCCTCCCATGTTTGTGGTCCTTCCGGACCATCATAGTGAAGTTGCTCTGATAACACCATCGGACTCATCAAATTAAACTCCTTTAACTCTCTTATGCATTAACTTTGGTTCGAAGGAAAGGGAACCCACTTTTGGACGTGTCATTACTCAAAAAACCGAGGCATTATGAAAAACGACAAATTTCACCAATTATCAGAATATCATCGCACTACTGCTGGAGATAGACATTTCATGTGGATTTGAGCATACCTTCGTGATCCGCACTACCACGCACAACTTGTGTCGTGGACAAGAGTAACGGAATGACGAAAATGAGATTAGCTGCCATGCTGTTGTAGACCGTTAATCCTTTCGCAGTCGTCATGAAGCCCGCAACCTGATAGAAAGGATTTGAAGATCAGAGTGCGGATGTAGAGCTGGAGTGAACTCTTCCTTCTTTTCGACGGCCACTTAGAGACTGAACCAGAAACCAGTAGTAGTGTGAGGATCAGTGAGGATCACTATCTGCACTTGACCAAAAGCTGATGGAGAAACATGAGGACCGAGTTTAAGTACTCGACGCAGATGAAGCCTGTGATCAAAGCAAACAGGAACCTCCTTTTTTAAAGATTGGAATTCCAGGGCATATGTGACCACCTGATAATTCGGCATCATTTTATTTCATCTTCGAATCTTTTGGAGTGATACCATATGGCGATTGGTTCTTGTGAGGTGCATGGCATATGCAATAAGTATTTAATAAGCTGTAAAAAACTGAATGAAAAGTAAAGTCCCAAGAAGAATCTTCTGGATCGGTCTTGTTGAACTTGTAAATTTAGCACTAAAGCTGTCACCTTCATCTGTTCAATTTAAAACTCAGGTTACAGAATCAAGGTGTGACCTTGTTGGATGAATATAGGTTTTGGCCGACCGAAACTCCGGAGATATAAAGCCGTACAAACGAGGACAAGGTCAGGTACATCGGGCGCATGCATATTACATTTGGACCTCAACGTTTTCCGCATGGTCATGATCCACAGGAGACACAGACGATGATACTCTTGCAGAGTATGTCTTACCGTTGAAAGTATCTGGCATTTCGAAAAGTACCTTGAACTAGCTCTGTAATGTCTGTGCTATTAGAATTTGTGCCATTAGTTGACTTAGATGCATTCAAGTATTTACATTTCTAGGGTACAAGAAAGTGGCAAAATGATTTGTTATCCATCATCTCTCTCAATACTTTGACCTTGAATGAAGTCTGTCATGTTTTTAGATCTGTCTTAAATGTGTTCTGTTATTAGAGACTCAAGCCATGGGTTCCGCCCTGGGAGAAGCTGTCATAAAGCCCTCGTGAACGGCACTGACTAATTACCTGCTGTCAATTGGAAATTTTGTGGTATTTTTGTTTATTACGATGATATGATGGGTCAGTAATTTGCTTCATTTGTTGAAACGGTGGCTGCTGCAGAATCCACTATGGGGTTGGCCATTCTAGTTATTAAACTTTCAAATTCACGGTACTATTGCAGAAGAATGTAGGGCGCTCGCGTCGCTTACGGTCATTGTCTGGCGCGCGGCTTCGACTGCGCTTCTTAGGACATAGTAAAGCTTGTCCTGATAAAGCCTTAACCACTATCGATAATATACATTGACCTTTGTTTGCTGAGGTGTAAAGCTGCACAGCTTCCTTATACAGTAATGGAATGGTAGAATTTAGCAGTGTTTTCCATACCATATATCTTATCAAAACTAAGATTTAAGATGTGGAAATCAGGATAATTTTCTTCAATAATGATAGGAAAGGATAAGGACTGAAAGGTCACTCATGACTTCTGGTTCGATGGAACCTAGCTTGCCCCTGAGAATTTTGTAAATACATAGGACTAATCGATACAAAATAAAGATCTATTACAAAATAGTATAATTTATACATCAAGAAATGTTTCAATTGAAATGAAAAAAATCAAGCTCTGTAATATATATTAAAAATTCAGTAATTGAAATTAATAACAGGTGAAATAAGATATGTAAAATTACAAGACAAACAAGGCTAAAAATTGAGGTAATAAGAAAAATAATGTCAAGAATTTTTCTTACAATCAGGAAAATTCAAAACACCTATTAAAAATTATCTATTTTCTAGTTAAATTTTTGATTGTAACAGACTTATATAAAGTTTAAAATCTCATGATTACAATTTGCATGTGAGAATTTACGGGAAAATTAAAATTTATATGTTTGATCTGAATGATTTTGAGAGCAACATAATATTTTGATAAATACACATATTTTAGAAATTTATTTTATCTATCTGCTATCAAGACTAAATTTTTGATCACATTATTTTGCATAGGATTAAATTTCTATTCTTTTGAAGCATATTTTGCTGAAATGGGGACTTTAACCCGGGCACAAATTTGAGATACTAGAACATATTTAAGTTTAAGAGAATTCAAACTATTTTTTTCCCTCTAAATTTAGAAAATATCTTTTTGAGTTAACTTTTTATACATAGATATATTTAGGTGAATGCAAAATTGATTGAAATAATTATTTCATATTTTTCATAGATTTTTATAAGACTATATCATTCTTTGACATGCTCTCTGATTTGGAAAAATTATTAAATTGAAAAAAAATAAAGTCCTTCGCGCTTGCTTGAGGTAAGTTCTTTGCTAATCCACCGTTTCAAGTCCTGAAGCAATATAAACAAGTCAATTTGCCACTTCAGAACTTTGTGAATGGCGCAGAACTTTACACCCTTAGTGTAGAGGATATCATTAAGGAACATACAATGAAGCCCCTCAAGTCTACCGTTCCAGGGTCTTCACACCTTGATAAGAAACTAATACTAACAATCGATCTTAACTAGGAACCCCATAAAACACGTGTTCTCCAAACTTCAGTTCCCTGGACTACCCTCCATCGCAAGCCATGTAATTTGAAGTTTTGATCCCCTTCAAACAATAAAAGGAACTATGTTAGTTTGAAAAGTACCCGTCGTTTCTTCTAATCTGCCGATTCTTTCAAAGACAGCTCTGGTTCTTGGAAATCCTCTTAAAAGTGCGCAGCAGTAGTTTTCATTCTTCTGCACGATATTGATTTTTACAGGTGGGTGTTTTACATGGTTTCTTGCTGTAGTACATATCTTGCTGTTCCTTCCGTGTACATACAACAAGCTGAAAACAGTTCATTCCACTGAATACTTTATGCTGTCGGTTGCTGCTTGCGAAAAGATTGGCTTTGCTGTCGATGAATCGCAATTTTTATTAGCAAGTATGTCCTCTTAGAAGAATTTCTTTGTCAGTATCCACATTCTAGAGCGTAAAAACCAACTTGGCGCTATTTTTCAAGAAATTATACACACTGTGGCGAGCATAAGACGGAGCTGACCAAGCTAGGACACTCAATCTTCTTGCCCTCAGAGTGGACTTACGACAATGTATCATTTCTACACAATGTTCTCCCTTTTCCTTAATTCTGACCTATGTAAGAATGGAAAATTGCTTCATATCGATATCGACAAACGCGCGTGATCATGTATCAAGTCAAGCTGATACTTGTATCACCTTGACTACTGGGAGAACACCACGGTTCTTCCCGCCAGATCTTGAAGCGGCCTGTTGTTTGGATCCTGGAACGACAAACGAGACAGGGATTGTGGATGAATATTACAAAGATTGTAGACAAGTCCTAATGAACGTTTCAACAGAGGTACTGGGTACAGTCAAGTAAACGAAGGATCTGGTCAGAGAAATCTCAACTCACCTTCAGAACGGCCTTGTAGGCTTGAAACTGTCTCGGTGACATCTTCAGATTCTGGACATCACAATGGAGACCCAAATCAGCATCACAGTGACGATCATGTAACGTGATTTTGATCAGATTCCAGTCAAGTGTGGCAGAATGTAGTGCTAGGTGGAGTAAGCATCTTTCATGCCTAAGCTCTTCTAGCAATATGCTATAAAGTTTCAAGATTTAAAAAGCTCTTCGTCGCTCATTATTCATGAAAGGAAAATTTTTAATGCCAGGCTAAATGCAGTCTTCTGTATGTTTATTCAGGTGGCTACATGTAGTAGAATCAAAAGCTGACCTGGTTCAGGATGACTGTCCAAGTAACATTCTCAGTGCACGGTGGCGTCGTCAGAGATCCGGAATATCGAGCATATGGACCATCCAATACCGGTAGTAGTGAAGAGAAGTCGACTGGTTTCAACGTGTGTACTGAAGAATCTGGCTTCTTTATGTACGGTAAAGCATCAAATACCTGGATCACGAAAAAAGATTTAACTACTGCCACAGATTAATCATACACGCTGCTCTGAAAGGAATATACTCCTGAATCGTTTGACTACAGGCAACTTTCTGTGCTTCATCGCAACGACATCATCAAAACACTCTCATAAATGGGTCTTGTGTATCTTATAACTCTGCAGATCTTTTAGATTCTCCACACACATGGGCGCTTACCTTTAAAAATTTGATAAAGGGTTAGTAAAACTTTTTGTAAATCTACAGACAACTTTTATCAATGATCACCAACGATTTTTGCAGTATAAGCATGTGCGTAAAAAACTTATAAATGCAAACATATCTAATCACATGAATGCAGAACCTCATGAGAACAATATATGTGGTAATAAACGATGTTCCTGACTGACCAAAATATTGTGCAAGTACCTGTTGAAGAAAATTATCGGTTGACGAGTCATCAGGGCCTTCATTGTACAGAAGGCCGATAACAGCGAGCTGAGGCCCATTTTGAGTGATGGTTTTATGAACTAGGTGTAGCTCCAAATCATAACTGCGCATGCACGTTGTCAAGTTGGTATAATTGCATCATCGAATAATCCCTTAATTCCTTCGGAATTAAAATCTGCTAAGTAAAAGTCAGGATAGTACCTAATCGAATCAATCTCGTGTTCACTTGGGGAATGGAAGTGAAATCCACTCAGATTGTAAATGTCACGAAGATACAGCTTTCCAAATGGTGCATCACCTTCCACCTTTCACAAAAAAAATGTAGTCAGCCTTACTTAACTACAACCTTAAATACAAATAAACCCACGAACTTGATGAACACATCTATCGTCTTTCAGAGCTTTGCCGTACATATTCTATTGATACTTGCGGCCCTCATAGTAGAATACGGATTGTATCAATTGGCTCATTGCGAGAAAAGAAATTGCATATCTGAGCACTGAAATGACCGTCTGCTCATGACGTGCTTACTGTCAATTGAAGATGTGAACCGGAGTGGGTGACCGTTGCCTGTGTGTCGCTGTTGTAATCGACATGCACTTTACAGAGACCCGGAAACTGATGAGCAGCTGCTTCACTTCTTACAATGTCTATCGGACTTTGGCTCTTGCCTGTATTGCAGAGTCCTCCCCATGTTTGTGGTCCCTCCGGACCATCATAGTGAAGTTGCTCTGATAACACCATCAGACTCTTCAAATTAAACTCTTTGGACTCTCTTATGCATTAACTTTGGTTGGAAACAAAGCAAGTCCACTTTTGGACGTCTCATTACTCAGAAAACCGAGGCATCATGCAAAGTGACAAATCTCACCAATGCTCAGAATATCATCGCACTACAGCTGGAGATAGACATTTCATGTGGATTTGAGCATTACCTTCGTGATCCGCACTACCAAGCACAACTTGTGTTGTGGACAAGAGTAACGGAATGACGAGAATGAGATTAGCTGCCATGCTGTTGTAGACCGTTAATCCTTTCGTAGTCGTCATGAAGCCCGCAACCTGATAGAAATAATAAAAGATCAGAGTACGGACGTAGAGCTGGAGTGAACTATTACTTCTTCTCCACGGCCACTTAAAGAGTGAACCTGAAACCAGTAGTAGTGTCAGGATCAGTGAGGATCACTATCTGCACTTGACCAAAATCTGCTGGAGAAACATCAGGACCGAGTTTAAGTACTCGAGGCAGATGAAGCCTGTGATCAAAGCAAACAGGAACCTCCTTTTTTAAATAATGGAATTCCAGGGCATATGTGATCACCTGATAGTTCGGCATCATTTTATTTCATATTCGAATCATTTGGAGTGATACCATATGGCGATTGGTTCTTGTGAGGTGCATGGCATATGCATTAAGTATTTTATAAGCTGTAAAAAACTGAATGAAAAATAAAGTCCCAAGAAGAATCTTCTGGATCGGTCTTGTTGAACTTGTAAATTTAGCACTAAAGCTGTCACCTTCATCTGTACAATTCTAAAGTCAGGTTACAGCATCACAGTGTGACCTTGTTGAATGAATATAGGAATTTGGCCGACCGAAAATCCGGAGATATAAAGCCGTACAAACGAGGACAAGGTCAGGTACATTGGGCGCATGCATATTAAATTTGGACCTCAACGTTTTCCGCATGGTCATGATCCACAGGAAACACAGAGGATGATACTCTTGCAAAGTACCTCACTACGAAGCCAAAGTTTGTCTTACCGTTAAAAGTATCTGGCATTCCAAAAGTACCTTGAACTAGCTCTGTTATGACTGTGTTATTAGAATTTGTGCCATTAGTTGACTTCGATGCATTCAAGTATTTACATTTCTAGGATACAAGAAAGTAGAAAAATGATTTGTTATCCATAATCTGTCTGAATACTTTAACCTTGAATGAAATCTGTCATGTTTTAAGATCTGCCTTAAATGTGTTTTAATGTTAGAGACTCAAGCCAAGGGGTCGGCCCTGGGAGAAGCTGTCATAAAGCCCTCGTGAACGGCACTGACTAATTACCTGCTGTCAATTTGAAAAAAATTTGGTATTTTCTGTTGATTAGGATGATATGATGGGTCAATGATTTGCTTCATTTGTTGCAACGGTGGCTGCTGCAGAATCCGCTATGGGGTTGGCCATTCTAGTTATTAAACTTTCAAATTCACGGTACTATTGCAGAAGAATGTAGGGCGACCGTTCGCGTCGCTTACGGTCATTGTTTGGCGCGCGGCTTCGACTGCGCTTCTTAGGACATAGTAAAGCTTGTCCTGATAAAGCCTAAACCCCAATCGATATTATAGGTTGACCTTTATTTGCTGAGGTGTAAAGCTGCACAGCTTCCTTGTCCTGGAATGGTAGAATTTAGCAGTCTTTTCCATACCATATATCTTCTCAAAATTAAGATTTGAGATATGGAATTCAGGAAAAAAAATTTCAATAATGATAGGAGAGGATGAGGAGTAAAAGGTCACGCATGACTTCTGGTTCGATGGAACCTAACTTGCCTCTGAAAATTTTGAAAAAACATAAAAGCAATCGATACAAAATAAAGATCTAATACAAATTAGTATAATTTATTAATAAAAATTGATAAAAGAGTGTTGTAATTGAAATGAAAAAAATTCAAGCTTTAAAATATAGATTAAAAATTTTAAATTCAGTTATTAAAATTAATAACAGGTGAAATAAAATATGTAAAATTACAAGACAAAAAAGGCTAAAAATTGAAGTGATAAGAAAAATAATTTCAAGAGTTTTCTTACAATCAGAAAAATTCAAAAAACCTATCATCAATTCTCTATTTCGAGTTAAATTTTTTATTGGAGAAAATTTATATATATTTATACAAAGTTTAAAATTTTATGATTATAATTTGCATATGAGAATTTAGGGAAAAATTAAAATATATGTGTATGATTTGAATGATTTTGAGAGCAACATAATATTTTGATAGATACATAAATTTTTGAAATTTTTTTCATCTGTCTGCTATCAAGAATAGAATTTTGATCACATTATTTTGCATAGGATTAAAATTTCTATTCTTTTGAAGCATAATTTTCTGAATTGAGAATTTAAACCTGGCACTAGAACATATTTAAGTTTAAGAGAATTCATAACCTATTTTTTTTCCACTAAATTTAGAAAATATCTTCTTGAGTGAAATTTTTATACATAGATATATTTATTTGAATGCAAAATTGATTGGAATAATTATTTGATATTTCTGATAAAATTTTATAAGACTATATCTTTCTATGAAATACTCTCTGATTTGGAAAATTAATAAATTGAAAAATAAAAAAAGTCCTTCACGCTTGCTTGAGGTAACTTCTTCGCTTATTCAACGTTTCAAGTCCTGAAGCAATATAAACAAGTCAATTTGCCACTTCAGAACTTTGTGAATGGCGCAGAAATTTATACCCTTAGTGTAGAGGATATCATTCCGGAACATACAATGAAGCCCCTCGAGTCTACCCTTCCAGGGTCTTCACACCTTGATAGGAAACTAATACTAACAATCGATCTAAACTAGGAACCCCATAAAACACGTGTTCTCCAAACTTCAGTTCCCTGTAGTAATCTCCATCGCAAACCATGAAACTTGAAGTTTTGATCCCCAAGCCAAACAATAAAAGGAACTATGTTTGTTTGAAAATGACCCGTCGTTTCTTCTAATCTGCCGATTCTTACAAAGACAGCTCTGGTTCTTGGAAATCCTCTTAAAAGTGCGCAGCAGTAATTTTCATTCTTCTGCACGATATTGATTGTTACTGGTGGGTGTTTTACATGCTTTCTTGCTGTAGTACATATCTTGCTGTTCCTTCCGTGTACATACAACAAGCTGAAAACAGTTCATTCGACTGAATACTTTATGCTGTCGGCTGCTGCTTGCGAAAAGATTGGCTTTGCTGTCGATGAATCGCAATTTTATTAGCAAGAAATTCCTCTTTGAAGAATTTCCTTGTCAGTATCCACATTCTAGAGCGTACAAACCAATTTGGCGCTATATTTCAAGAAATTTTACACACTGTGGCGAGCATAAGACGGAGCTGACCAAGCTAGGACACTCAATCTTCTTGCCCACAGAGTGGACTTACGACAATGTATTATTTCTACACAATGTTCTCCCTTTTCCTTAATTCTGACATATGTAAGAATGGAAAATTGCTTCATATCGATATCCACATTCGCGCGTGATCATGTATCAAGTCAAGGCGATACTTGTATCACCTTCACTACTGGGAGTACATCACGGTTCTGCCCGCTAGATCTTGAAGCGGCCTGTTGTTTGGTTTCTGGAAAGACAAACGAGACAGGGATTGTCGATGTATATTACAAAGATTGTAGACAATTCCTAATTAGCTTTTCAACAGAGGTACTGTGTACAGTCAAGTAAACGAAGGATCTCATCAGAGAAATCTCCACTCACCTTTAGAACGGCCTTGTAGGCTTGAAACTGTTTCGGTGACATCTTCAGATTCTGGACATCACAATGGAGACCCAAATCAGCATCACAGTGACGATCGTGCAACGTGATTTTAATCAGATTCAAGTTAAGTGTGGCAGAACGTAGTGGTAGATGGAGTAAGCATCTTCCATGCCTAAGCTCTTCGGGCAATATGTTATGAAGTTTCAAGGTTTGAAAGCTTTTCTCTGCTCATTTTTCATGGAAGAATATCTTTCATGCCAGGTTGAATGCAGTCTTCTGTATGTTTATTCAGGTGGCTACATGTAGTAGAATCAAAAGCTGACCTGGTTCAGCATGACTGTCCAAGTAACATTCTCAGTGCACGGTGGCGTCGTCAAAGATCCGGAATATCGAGCATATGGGCCATCCAATACCGGTAGTAGTGAAGAGAAGTCGACTGGTTTCAACGTGTGTACTGAAGAATCTGGCTTCTTTATATATGGTAAAGCATCAAATACCTGGATCACGAAAAAAGATTTTACAAGTGCCCCAAATTAATCATACACGTTGCTCTGAACGCAATATTATCCTGAACCGTTTGGTTGCAGGCAACTTTCTGTGATTCATCGCAACGACATCATCAAAACACTATCATAAATGAGTCTAGTGTATCTGATAACTCTGCAGATCTTTTAGATACTCCACACACAGAATTCATGTGCGCTTACCTTTAAAAATTTGATATAGGGTTGGTAAAACTTTAAGTAAAACTACAGACAACTTTTATCAATGATCACCAACGATTTTTGCAGTATAAGCATATGCGAAAAAAATATAAGAATTTCTATAAAACCCGAACATATCTCATCACATGAATGCCGGACTTCATGAAAACAACATATGTGGTAATAATTGATTTTCCTCACTGATTAGAATATCGTGTAAGTACCTGTTGAAGAAAATGATCGGTTGACGAGTCATCAGGGCCCTCATTGTACAGGAGGCCGATAACAGCGAGCTGAGGCCCATTTTGAGTGATGGTTTTATGAACTAGGTGTAGCTCCAAATCATAACTGCGCATGCACGTTGTCAAGTTGGTATAATTGCATCATCGAATAATCCCTTAATTCCTTCGGAATTAAAATCTGCTAAGTAAAAGTCAGGATAGTACCTAATCGAATCAATCTCGTGTTCACTTGGGGAATGGAAGTGAAATCCACTCAGATTGTAAATGTGTGGTACCCCACTTTTGGCAATTTTGAGGAAATTAAAACATTTTTGGAAAATTGTACCCTGGCAGCATTGTAAATAGCCTTCGGTACATCAAAACAGAGTGAGTTCGGGAAATCGCGGGGATTCTCGAGGGATCTTGTAGAATCTGGGATTTGGGGTGCCGCAGTAAGGGCAGGCACCACCCTCCCTGCGAGCTCCGCAGTTAGGATCTCTACGGCGCAAGGCGCAAAACCCGCCTTCGGAGGTTGCGTCCGCGGCTGTAGGGAAACCCTCCCTAATTAGGTCAACCCTCGGGCGCCTTGACCAAGTTAGGATCCCGTTGGAAAGAGCTCGACGCACTGATTCCAACGAGCCCAAGAACGTTTGGAACGGACGAGGACTTAGGGAGTTATCGCTACTGGAAGAAATGGAGGCGGTCGCCTATGGCGGAAGGAGTTCGCCACCGGCGCGAATTCCGCCTACGCGGAAGGAGGAATCAAGTTTTGTCCTATGCGCGGACGTAGGCGTTCGCCTGTGCACAGGCGAAGTAGGGTTAGGGAAGGCGCGAAGTCCGCCTACGCACAGGCGTTTCGGCGTCGGCGGAAAATCCGCCTTGGGCCCTAGAAATGCGCCTTGTGAGGTAGAAAGTGTACGGCGCCTTCCGCGCCAGCGCAGCGCCGCGTACATCGGAAAAGCCGCCAGAGTAATCCAATCGGTACGGACCATGCGGACGGCACGGGTGGATGCGCTCTTGGACGGACGGAGTTGCGGCGGCGGAAGCGCCGACGGAGAGACCAGGAACGGACAGGCTGGACGGAGACGACTGACCACGGTCAACGCCTTCCGCGCCAGCGCAGCGCCGCGGACGGAATTCGCCTGCGCACAGGCGAACGCCTGTGCACAGGAGGATGTTCAAGTTCCGCACCGGCGGAGGATCCGCCGAGGCTCCTGCCTGCGCACAGGCAGGAGTTGAATTTTTGTCCGACATGCGGACACACGCGTCAAGGCAGAGGGAGATTGGCCGAGGGGCGGTACGAACAAGTGTACCGCGCAAGGCGGAAAACTCGCCTTCAGCGCTACGCCCCCATGTCCGGAGGGTGACACGCTCGCGGAGTTCAAATCCGCCAACTCGAGCGTGAGAGTTTAATCGACGACGGCGGAGCGTGAAGCCGCGCGTGAGAGCGAAGACCGTTCCAGCGTACAGCCGGCGCGGCCATCAAGTGAGACGTTCTTCACGACCAAGAGCCGACCATGACCTTCGACCGGGCGGCGGAGAACGTCCCATTCTTGAATTCGCGATTCCAATCTCTTGTGCGCGCTGCGCGCATCCATCTGCTGGCTGCGGAACAATCTCGACGTCGTCGCACAGGAGATTTCTTGTTGATTGAGGGAGAAGTGAGTGCGCGTGATTTGGAATTGAGAGCGATTAGAGTTTGCCGAGAGAGAAAGAAACGCGGGCAGTGCGGAAGTAGAATGAGCGGGCGAGCGAACCCCAGGAACGCAATGACGAGACCGAGCAGATTGCGGATGGTGCCACTTCGCCTGCCGCAGAACGGGCTGCGCGCTTTCGAGGAGCGCTTAATAGCAAGAAAGCTCGATTTCTTGCTATGGGGATGGAATTACATCTGTGCGAATATGGTGCGCGAGTGGCTAGAGCCACAGGGACCACCCTCGCGCGGATTGCGTCCGCATGTTGATCGGTGGACAGTCCAAGATTGGGCGCAGGCGTTGGGAAGATGTGCTGGCATGCCAGGGCATCTCCTTTTCGACAGCGAGAGCATCAAGGTGACCAAACAAGAAGAGGCGCAATTTGTGGAGCTGTTCAAGACCGGGAGGTCTACCAAGAATGGGTACAGGACCCGTGATTACAAGGATCGATTTCGCCGGACTCTGTCCGCGGCGCTGATGCAATTACTGCAGCCGCACCGCGCCTGCTACATCACATTGTGGCAGGTCTCTTTTGTGGAGTGCGTCATCGAGGGAACTCCAATTCACTGGGCGAGCATCCTGCACAGGGTGATGCGACAGCACGCGTTTGAGGAGAAGGGGGGAACTCTAAACCATCTTTCTCCTTTCCTCAACAATTTTTATCGACAGCGGAATTGTTTGACAGCGGCGGAGCTTGAACATTTTCCGCCATTGTCCATCGACCATCCCGGGAAGTATGTGCGGGAGAACGAGGTCGATACTGATGCAGAGGAGTCCCCGACTTCTACCCCATCAAGACGGAGAGACGAAGGGAGACACACCCCTGCAGCGCGAGTGCCGCGGAAGCGGCGATGGAGGGAAGAGTCTGAAGAGGAGCAGCATCAAGAACCCTCTGCTCCCATTCGACCGCGGCCGCTGTGCGAGCCATACAGCCGGCCGAAGCAGAAGGCACGCAGACTGGTGTTACCAGCTGACAGTGTAGACACGGCGACGATTGCGACGGAGATAGGAAGTGCGTCGCCGGAGAGGCGAGAGGAAGCGCGGACGACCACAGGAGCAACGGGCCACGCTGCAACCTCGTCGGGAGAGAGGCCGCCTACGGGCCAAGGGCCTCCGGAGTTACCACGTGCGATGCGGACAGATGTTCCGTTTGCGCACAGGCGAACCTCCGCGGACGGACGAGTCTCCGCGGACCGGAGAACACAAGTGGACGTGGATCTACGCTTACGCGTGGGAAGGAGCAGTCCGCCTGTGCACAGGCGCTCACCTGTGCACAGGTCGCCTGTGCACAGGACACCTCCACACGTGCCGCCTGTGCACAGGCAAGAATCACCCCCGTTCCAACGCAGGAAGGGGAAGGAGCCGGCGGAAGAACCGCCTACGAGACACCGGCCCTCGGGGCCAGACCCTCCGGCGCACCACGCGCCGCAATTCGCGCCTTCGGCGCCAGGGCCTTCGAGCCGAGGAGATACGAGCAGAGAGCGTGCGGAGGCCGCACCATCGGCGGGAAGTCCGCCGATAGATGCGCCTTCGGCGGTAGGGCCTATGGGCCAAGGAACATCGGGCGTGCGGCCCCCGGCCATGTCGCCTTCGGCGATAGATGACCGCGGCGCTACGCCTGCGGCGGACAAGGCGCCGGCAAATGCGCCTACGCACGGGCCGGGCACAGCCCCCACGGACCGATCAAGGGAGCAGCAGACGATGGAGCGGAGTGACTGTCCGCGGGATGAAATCTCGATGCGCGATGCGCAATCCAACCCCGCGCAGCCACCCTCCGCTCAATCGCCTTCGGCGACGGACGGCGGCGACAGAGAGAATGCGGTAGGCAATCAACCAGCAAGCGACGGGGATGCCGCTCGGATACATTCGCCTTCCGCCTTAGACATTTTGGCGACGAGCAGCGAGGCTGCAGCCGTGCCTTCGCAGGCAGCACACGTCGAGGACGTGCAGCCCCACTCGGGGCAGTCGCCGACGCAATCAATGGCGACTGAAATTCTCCACTCGGATGATGACGACGGAGGCTCCACGGAAGAAATGTCAGGAGCAGAAGACACCGAGGAGGAGGAGGAGGAAATTGTTGGAGCGCCGGCGGCGGCGCTCTCTGAGCAGGTAATTCCGTTGCTGCGGTACTTGGATCGCAAGGTCGATAAATACGCCGACCCACTCCAGCCGGGATCTTACATCGAGTTAGTGCGCAGGCGGACTCGCACTAAAGTCCACACCAGCAAGCTATTAGCTAGAGTGGAC